TACTGACGTTCCAAAGTACGGCAATTAAAGTTGGATTAACGATCTGTTAAAAACCTATTAAAAGACGATAACTAACACGCGTCATAGGCTGTAAATGTAGTTTAGATACATAAATAATGATTACTGGTACTTGAAATAAACAAAAAACAAGATATCTTAGTATCAGGATAAAGTCTAGATAAACTTTTAGGTCGCTGAGTGAAATTTTCTTATCCTATCGAATCATCTGATAAATTGACTATTTCAAACACAAAGGAAGGTACTACTTTGTCCACTATGGTTGAGGTACCCTTACAGAAATTTGGACACAATCAACAAACACGAACTTTATTATGAAACTTGGATAATATGTTGGCTCTAATGATATGTCAACCAAAGTGTTCCACGCAATACCATAGACAGACCACATGTTCGATTAATTGACAGTTGGAATAACGAGGCGTGGACAGAATGACCACCTCAGCACCGGACTGATCTCGATAAGGCCCCGACACACCGACGCCGATCAACGCAGATAAAACTGGCGTTACGTCGTGTTCGCGTTGAAGGAACAAACATGACTCGATAACAATTTGTTAGCGAAAATAAAACATATCTGTAGATAAGATAATCCTCAAGTTATTTGTGTTCATTATTGCCACGATGTGATAGTCGATTGAAGTGCAATATTTTAGTTTTTTTTTATAACAAAAGGTGGCAAAGGAGCAAGCGACCACCTGAATCTGCCAAAATGGCGAAGCGATCGTTGCCCAGACATCCGCAAATGCAGATGCGTTGTTTACCTTTAATCGATGGAGGAGGAGACGCACATAAAGAGGATATTTCTCCTACCTATGCGTCTCCTGCGCCGTCAAATCAACTTTCCCTTCCCATCCTTTCACATAAGAAAAAGGGCGGGAAGGAAAAGGGACCAAAGTTAGGACTCCGGCACCACACTCATCAGACATAGCGCGGAATTAGACCCACTTGATGCCTGTCTTCTGTGTGGTCGTGGTATTACACCGAGCCGGCCCCTTCGTGCGAAGATGTTAAAGCGGGCTCTATCACTGTAATGATGTAAGATGGTCAAAACAGTATCATAAGTAAATATACGTATTTTTTCCTGTTATTTGAAGTTTGAACGAGACATAATCTATTTTTACATAAAATCTGTGCTGAAAAAAATCGGAAACTACATTTAAATAGAAGAGGGCAATTTGTAAATGATGAATGAGTTGTTGGCAGCGACTAACATCTTTGCATCAACAAGACAGTCAAGCTGTCACTACAATTTTAAACGTGCTGTATTTTTTTAAATAAATATTGATTTTTGTATTCTCTCGTCTTCTACTTCGATTCATAACTAATACCACGAACATGCGAAACATTGACTTTCATAATTTAATGAACAATCGTACTTTGTACTTTAAAAAATACAAAGAACATATTTACTGTTTTTTTTTTTAAATTTCAATCCATATTAGCAAAATCACATTTACATGTATACATTAATTTTTTGCCACATGTAGGGCAACGTAATTTCACTAGAAGTAAAACTAAACTAAGTTTGTATGCGATTGGCCTTAGTTAAAGGAATTCCGTGAGTCAGCGTACCAATGAGAAGATGATATCTTCCGAGAAACGGACGCCGGATCGTAAACCCCCCGCACCCCGCACCAACTTACAAGAGGTCATCGTAACAATGTACGCATTCAAGTTAATAGATCTCAAACATAAATCTACTCAATAAGAAACATGTCACATAAATCAAGGATAACATAAGTCTGCTAGAAATAAAATGTTATTGGTCGTATCCAATATCTATACATTTTATACTCTAACTGTCGTACTCAGAGCCGTTAAATAACCACCTTAGTGTTTGTATGTAAATTCTACACTTCGAAGTTTAATAATTTGTGAAATCAAAGACAACTATCAAATGCATGTGTTTTAAGAAGCGATTTCATCGTTGTAATAATGCTTATCTTCCTCAGATGAGTAGATCATTTAATTATATCACGGCGAATAGCAGGCGTTTGCAATCAAAGCCAGGAATCCGGAGCTAGCGACTCGACTACGCGACTGCCGCCAGGTATTTTGCACTTGAATAGGGATAAAGACATTTTCACATTGAAACGAAATATCCCCATTGCCTATACCGTCTACTCAAAATTATATCACTCAGCAATCCCTTTGTAGTCAACCTTAAGTGTCGTAATATAATTCAATTCAGATTTCACCACTAAGAGCTTTTACGTTCTTGTATAAAATTAAATTTTCAAATGACAATTATGGTGTTCCATCCATTCTAAATGTCAAAATCAAATAATTACATTTCCTCGATTATTTTATAATCTCGTAAAGAGGGCAGCAGGTTTAGTATGTAGTGGCCCTAACACACGACTATCGTGGCAGGCAGGTTAATTAGCAAGTTGCAGTGCGAGCGCAGCCGAGGTCGCCGGTCGGGGCTAGTTGTGTTTTTTACTTTTTATACGCAGCTGTCCGCATTATGATAAACTTCACACGTAGAAAGTACCATCCTTTCATTGGGTCTCAACACTAAAGGTATTCTATGAGTATACCATTTTTAATTTTCAATTATTTTCTTAACTTTTACAATAACCTAAAACTTTTTCCAGCATATGGCGACATACACATTTAAGTTATAGTATTTAAATTTTAAATACTAAATTGTGCACTATCAATACGAATAGAGCCTCTTTTATGCAAATGTTACATTACAGTAAACATTACTTGTCAAAGAGTAACAAGTCCATACCAGCATAAAGTTAAGCTTCATGGTAACGTTAAAATAGTGTGTTAAAAGCGTCTATTGTTAGGACACATTGTGATGCACATCACGCGCGATCGCACCTCTACACGCTCCCCCTCGCTAGGAAAAACTCCATTAACAGTCAAATGGTAATATGTTTTTTCTATCAATGACCACAACACTATATGTTTATTGATTATGTAAGTCTACATAACTCAGTTACGTTGTCATTATGTAGTAGTAGTAGTAGGGGCTACGATTTCCGCAACTCCACGGCTAGCGCGAATTTTGCTTAAGAACAGGACATGGATTACTCCAGCCAACCCATCTCTCTGAAGAACCCCAGCAAATCGAGATACCTAACCTTGTTTTCAGTTATTGCTGGGCAGTGTTGTATGATGTGTGATGCGGTTTTTTCTTCCACCATACTTGCTCTGCATAATGGACTGTCTTTTTTTAATATAATATAAGGTGGCAAGTGAGCAAGCGGCCACCTGAATCCACCGAAATGGAAAGCGACCGCTGCCCATAAACATCCGCAATTGCAGATGCGCTGCCTACCCTTAATTGACGGAGAAGGAGACGCACATAAAGAGGACATTTCCAACCTTTCCTCTTAAGAACAGGGTGGAAAGGAAAAGGGACTAAAATTGGACCTCCAGCATCACAATCATCAGACGAAACGCGGAATTGCTTCCACTTCACGCCTGTTTTCTGTGTGGTCGTGGTATTACGCTGGGCGAGCCGACCCATTTGTGCGAAGATGTTAAAGCCGGCTCTACCAATGTAACAACTACAGGTGTGTGTGACACCTATGTTGTACAGATGTTTGTTGAAGTGGCCATGGCCAGTGAGTGCTGGTAACAGTAACAGTTGTAAAACTGTCTGAAGCTATTCTCTCATCATTCATTAATATTGAAAATATTAATGAACGATAAGAGAGTTATTAAGTCTGTTACACTATGTTTAATCAGAAAGGAAGAAAATATTTCTTTAGACGTAAAACAAGTATTTTGAAAGAAATAGTGATAAAGACAAGAAATATATTAATTTCAATAAATTACATTATGTGACATAGCTTTATCTTCAAACATTTAGATGAGAAATTACAAGACATAATGGAAAAACAGTAGTCAAGACACAGCGATACCGAGGCTATATGTTACAAACATAAACAAATTGCCTTAAGTAATTTCAAAAATAGAATCAGAAAATCAAGAAAGTATGGGTTCTAAAACATTTCAAAGTATAGAAACACTTTCCGTACCATAGAAAGTAAATTAATCCTGTACTTTTACAGTTTAAAAGACTTTTAAACATATCAATCATGAAATTTAATTAGGAATAATTTTTGCATTACATACATCATGAGATTGTTCTGTTATCAAAGTATTTTTTCTAAATATTCCAACATTTTGTCAAGGACTTTTTTACTAGTTTCATATATAATGATAACAGATTCAATATTTTTTTATGATTATTTGAAACTTGTTGAAAGAGCAGTTTTAAATAATGTTTAACATACACATGTTTTGGCATTGACTACCAAATCATCAGATATATGTTTATATTTTGCATTTTATTTTCTAAGAATATTTGTGTTTAGAATGTTTATTGTACCTGGTATTATAAAATAAAAACCAATTGTGAAATAAATTTTAAAAACACAAATAGATTTTGTGTAAGTTTTAAATATGATTAAAACAGTAGAATAAGTTGTTAAAATAAAATGTAGCTAAAAATATTTCTAGAGTAATAAAAAAAAAACTGTTTGTATGTAGCTTAAGTAAGATTTGTGCTATAAATATTAATGAAGTTTTTATAAACACATTTCTGTATCAATGAACTTTTTACTATAAGAATGGATGAGATAATATTATCTCTACACATAAGTAAACAACATATGACTAAACATTACATATTTGAGTTATATTAAACTGCTTAATAGAATTAGCAAACCATTCAAGAGTACATTTTAGGTACAGAAGAATTTTTATGAGTCTTTTATATACAACAATTGGATAAAAACCTGCTTTAAACAAGGTTGTCAAGATGTCTAAACTGTATTAAAGTAACTTCTTAACTATCTCATTACGAAACATTAAAATTAATACAATACTGATATGTGTACTGACTATATTTACCGTGGCTTGGAAACAGTGAATTTTTTCCGTAAACATTTACATGTAAGTCAATATAAATGACCCAATGTACCTCGATTTTCGTTCGAATGTAAATTGCTACTTACGATTTTACTTGAGGAAAGACGAAGTATCCACTTCTTCGGCACTATTAGTATCCTGAACACAACATATTCACTTTGCGTAAAATAAAATGAATTACCGGATCGGTCCTGTCACAATCGTGTTTGCGAACAGTTCATAAAAATCTGAGGATAAGTAGATTTATAATTTCTAGGTTCTATACTTTTAAAATACGAACTCACAGCGATAACTACAAGTAGTAAATAATTAATTATGAACCGCACGAGTCGCTTCCGACTGAAGATTCCAATCCTTTACACAAAAGTGGTCCACACCACAAGATCCAGGGAATATTGCGCACGCATCTATCAAGAAATGACAAATGACTTTTATTATGTTAAGTTAACTGACAATCATAACGTATATGTTGCCTGTTTCTATCGAGATTAATTATTTGTAGTAAAATCCCAAGTGTTTAAAAATAGTAACTTTTATTCGTTAGTACGTGGAATTTTGTGTAAAGAAATCACGATTGCACGTTACCAATAACGAATTTAAGCCACATTTTTCCTTGATAACAGTTTCTAAACGATTTGTTAAAAGTCAGCTCAACGACATAAAATGTCAATTTTGTCCTATAGATGTCAGCCAATGTCAATTTCGTTCTCAAGATATCGCAAAAACTTGTCAATAAATAATAAAACTGACGTGTAATTTGCTAAGAATTACAATAAAATTTCATGAGTGCTCCTTAACAAATTTTAAAAATGTCCGATGGTGATACAAGTGTTAACAATGACGCAACAACAGGAGAAAATGACGATTCAAAAGTGGAAGCCGATTCGTCTGTCGCAATATCTGATCGTGAGGCGTACTTCCAGGCGCTACGAATGTGGATTCAACAAGCGCAGATGTACCAAAACATTTCCACTTGCTTCCCTTATTACATGATGACCTTTCAGGGTTTCCAGAACAATCCGACAAATGCTCCTCTGTTAAACAATAACTATCAGTTTCAGGGGCCACAATTTCCATTTCAAATGCCAAATTTCAGGCCAGTTATAGAAAACCGACCACCAGCAGAAAATCTTACTCCTGCTGAAGGTACCTAAATCTATCAATTTATTGTAGATACTGAAATATTAATGTATTTTGTAGAATTTTATTGATTATTAAACAACATATTTTCAGTTATTGCAAGACATGGTGGTTATGAATATGTAATACCACCTCTTTATAAGAGGTTGATGGCAGAATTCATTGATTTCATTTTACTATTTATTCTCAAACTAATTGTCACATTCATAGCTGTGGATATGTTTGAGTTGATGTAAGTATCCAATTAGAATTTTCAGATAATTGCTTAAAAATAAAGAGTTAGAGGCAAAATTAAATCTTACTGTTACACAATTATAATATAGAAAATTCTATTAATTGCCACAAATCTATTGAATTAAGTGCCTTCTGGTTCAATACCTACAATTTTTTATAAATTCATTCAGCATGAAATGAAAACTCAAAACATTCATCTGCAGTTCTGATATTGCAGATGTCTATGGATTTTGATCACTTTGATGTTCTTGCTGCTTATTTGCCTCCCTTTTAAAAAAAATATGATTGCCTCTAGTTTAAATTCAAATTAAAAGCTAGGTATCTCAATATTAAGGGCCTGTCCTACTACTGATAGAGGCTCAGTTAGCTTAAAAATGACATTACTGTCAGATAAGGGACCAACGTCTGATATTTCCATCACACATACTACACATTGCATTATTATCAGACAATTTTGCTATATGGTGGGGCAGGCCCTTAGTCTTGAATACTTTTATCCACTTCCAGAGACTTGGAGAAGTTTGATTTCTATGAGTTCAGTGAACACTATGACGACTACAAATATGCAATGGAATTGACTTCGGAAATTTTATTTTTGGAAGTAATTTACAGGATTTTAGTTTGTATTTTTGAGGTAATTGTACTTGTAATAGATTTTATATAAGTTTTATTTTCAATTGTAGCCCTAAGGTGTTCATAAAGTAATAAATTGTTTTTTCCATTTCAGGCATTTTGTTTATGTGGCAGTGTTGGTCGTACAGGTGGTGCCACACCTGGAAAGGCGCTCCTTGGTCTCCGAGTTGTAACTGCATCTGCTATTATTCCAGTAGAAGGTCGCCCCAGAGATACAGTTCTGTTATACCCTGGCCGTCCTCTAACATTCCTCCTTGCACTAGTTCGGTCTTTAATGAAAAACTTCCTTATTTCCCTGTTATTTCCATTATGTGTGGTATTATTTGTATTCAGTCATAATCGCACAGGTTATGATATCCTATGTGGTGTTATTGTTGTTGAAGAAAATATGTACCCGGCAAGGAGGCATGCACCTTAGAGATAAGGTAGTGTTTAGATTGTACATGTATGTTTCCTGTAATAATAAAGTTTACCTAAATACTATGCCCCAACATTGTGTAGTTTTGGTAAGGGGGTTTTCTTCATTGTTTATGGCATTTATAACTGGGTGTGTCAAAACTAAATATATTAATCTACTCTATTGATAGGCTATGAAAATATAACAACTTTTTTCTTCTGGTTACTATGAACAAGAAAAAGTGTAAACGCAATGAAAATGAGTACCTAAACTAGCTTGTTATTGAAAGACGTTGAGTCGAAATTTTGTGATAATTCAAATTATTTTGTAAATATTTTATTGTTAGTAAAGTTTTAAAAATAAATGATTTTTAATTGTACAAAGGCCTTTTAGTTTGTTTATCCTTATTTGATTCGTATTTGACTGACCATGTTTCAGAATTTGAATAAGAATAAACAGTAGGACTTCTTATAAAATGTAGTCAATAATACGTATAATAAATATCAATTTGAAATTACATAAAATCGTCGATCGATTTTTTTTACATGAACGCAACTTTAAAATTTGACGTAAAGGTGCGTTCTGAATTCGATCAGTTTGCTATTTTCGAAACAAAAGTCGATATTATTTTGACTGGACTTATTACACAATAACATTTTGCCTTTATAATGTGTTAGCAAATCATTTTTATAAAATTGTGTTCTAAACGTTAGTGAAACTAATATCATTCAATATTAAAATATTGCTGAGTTGGCTCAAACATTGTGCCGTCAGTCTGCCGTAACGTGGCGGCGCTGCGCTCGTGTGTGCCGCAGGAGTGGCCCGACCCGAACTGTCATTGTTCATGTAGTTTTCTGTGATAAGAATTACTGTGAAATTATAGTTTAGCGTACTAAAGTAATTATATCCCTCACGATGTCTGCTTCTGGTGAATTCGGTAACCCGTTACGTAAATTCAAGCTCGTTTTTCTTGGAGAGCAAAGCGGTAAGTGGCCGTCGAAAATTTTTCCGTCGTACATTTTTAATACATAGATTTTAGGTTTACGACACGTATTTATGTTACTACCAAAATCATGAAATAATTGATGTTTTTCTATAAATAATTGATCGTTAACTCCACTGGAAATGTGCTGCAATTGTAAATTGATTTGGCTTTATAATACTGCTGTTCTGAGATGTAGGTTACGAATGGCATCATTAGAACTATATGAAATTCTCACGCAACCTCTCGGCTTCTATATCAATTGGCTTTTGATAATAACTCGTGGACCGTTTTGGCGTATTCACACTGGTCTTGTGTTTTGCAGTGGGCAAGACTTCGCTGATCACAAGGTTCATGTACGATAGTTTCGATAATACTTACCAGGTGAGTCATTAAATCTGTTTTTTTGTGTATTTACGCTACTACTAAATTAATACACCTGTTAAATTTAATATCACATTGCTACATATTTATTCATAGAAAAAGTTTAAACACTTCGTATTTTATATGAACAGAGTTTCATGTTTTTATGCAGAAATGTATTTTTTGCAAACTGTAATGAAGTGTATACAATAAATTGTACTCAATTTTTCTGAGTCAGTTCCGTGATGTACTAATTTGTTATTCTTATGTGATCTAATTAAAGTAATTTATTACTGTTGGAATTTATAATTGGTGATCATTTATGATACAAGAATCATTTGTATTTCTTAAAGTTACTTACTTTCACTTTATTACAACATTGCACTTTACACTTATTTGCACAGATGTCATAAGAATATGTTCAAGTTATTTCATCATATGTACATTCATAATAGTATTCTGAATCAAAAAATTACTTAACAAGAAACAGGTGCAACTGTCTTTTTTATGATTTACTTAACATCAAGTGGTAAATTAAGTGAAACGGAGAGTTATGATTAATTATTTTTACTACAGTTATAAATTAATCAAGACTCATAAAAACATAACCTATGTTTAGAAAAAGATACGTAAATTTCAATAATAATTTGGACTAATGGACAGATCCTTTTGGTGTAGCTTTTAACATATTAAGCCCTACAAAGTCTCCAGGAACGTGATATAATTTTAATAGTACTAAAAGTGTTAAGTTAATTCTGTCCTTGGATTCCTTAAGTTTGTTATTTCAATTTATCAGATAATATATCTTTTTTTACAATGTAATTATATGAACAATAAATAGTACATGAATATTAAAGTGTTTTATGATGTTCTTTAAATTATGTTAATCAATTTTAGCATTTAAAAGGGGCTTGAGATAATGTGATAATGGTTTACCATATTTCAATACTAAGTTACTAAATTAAGTATTGGCTAAGTATAGTCACTATAATACAACTTGTATTGAACCCTAGATAACACAGTATTTGGAATATTCTTCAATTATGGTAATGTCATATCAAAGTAAATGTAGAACTTAGGATGTCATAGAACTGCTTGAATAAATGTAAACTAGTACCATCTTGAATTTTATGACTTCTTTTTTTATTTACTATAACCCAAAATATACAATTGAATTACAGAGCTCACATTTTACATTCTTATTTTCTTCATGTCACATCTTGCACTTGTTTTACACCTCAAAACATACTTTACTTTTTATTACATTTTTAAATAGTCTTTGTCGGTGGCCAGTGTTAACAATGCAATCCAAATAGTCAATATTGACTGACCACTGCTTTTCAGTTATCCTTTGTGTGGGTAATTTTATCTCACTTATAATGAAGTTTGCAGTAAACTGTAATGTAAATTAATAAAAATAAAATGATTTTTGTTTACTTTTTTATTCCAATTTATTCATTTAATCTTAAAATAAATAAAAACATTTCAGTTACTATCAATAGAAATATCAGTAGTCAAATTGGAAAATGTTTCAAAATAATTTTCTTTGTAGGCAACAATCGGTATTGATTTCCTGTCGAAGACAATGTACCTTGAGGACCGCACGGTGCGGCTGCAGCTTTGGGATACAGCGGGTCAGGAGCGATTCCGATCCCTTATACCTTCGTACATCCGGGACTCTACAGTTGCTGTTGTTGTCTATGATATTACCAGTAAGTAACATTATATTCTAGCTAAAAATTTATTAACTTAGGTCATTATAAATATTTATTATTCATTTTAACTAAGTGTAAATTTAAAAATATTACTGTAGAATTATTAGTACCGGTTTTAGCTACGAGCGCCATGAAAATTTTGAGTTATTGTAAATACTGCTATATGAGACTGTAATTAACAAACCTTTGACATCCCTTTCTTACCAGCGCCCTAAACGGTCGCCCAATCGCGCCTCGTCCTTCGGAAAATCTTTTACAATCTACTAATATAATAAAGCGTAAACAAACAGGACTTTGTGGCGTAAGATGTCAGCAATAACAGTATATTTTTGAGTAATTACTTTTTTAATAAAAAGCCCTACACTTGCGTCACACTTAAGGCTATATATTTTCACGCCATTAAACTTAGGGGGTAAACATTTTGGATAAAAACCCTAATGAGGGAAAGAGACCATAAGTTGCTGTCAACATCAAGGAAGTAAGATTGCCATGAATTCTCATGTCACGTCATTTTGACATCTGCACTTGATAATGACAAATGTAAACAAAACAATACTTTTTTTATAATTTCATGCGGAAGAAGCCACATGGGAACAGCTAGTAACAAATAATTATGGTTCTGAAATAATGTAAATGATCCTCTATTTGGGTATGATTGACTTTAAATATGAAAATTTTAACCCCGCTGTAACGACTATCTATGTATGTCAAGAAGGTAGATCTCAGACCTCTCGTGGCCGCGAGTGCCGCAAAGCACTCTAAACGTCGTGAATACTGTTAAAGTAAACGAGATAAACACTCGGAAAATTGTTTGATATTTCGTTTCCCCGTAAATCTTTAAAATAAAGATCTCTTAAAATGGAAAAATAGATCGAAAAAATATTGATTATTTGTGTTGTAAGTTGGTGCATTTGAAACGTCAGTATTTGCGTTAACAGTCTAAGTTTTCTCTACTAAAATTACCTTTCACTACCTTAGTGCACTTAGTGTTGTCGAAAGCCAATTAAAAATATATATTACGATTATAATTTGAGATTAACAATGACTTTATTACAAGGTTAGTATTCCTAGACTGTATCGCATTGCATTTGCGGTGAGTAACGAGTGGCCTTGCGTTGTCACCACAATATGTGTGTCAGTCTTCAGATGTTATAACTTGTTTTATAGTACTTTAACAATAAAATCTGTTATAGTAATATAAAAGACAGTAACTTGTATTTGCCAAAAAGCCTAACTACTTACCTAAATACTTCGAGACCTGGCTGAGGTAATCGTAAACATACTTCATTCTAATATTACAAATGCGAAAGTTTAGATGAGTGGATGGATAGATGTTTGTTACAGATTTCGATTAAATTTAGCATAGATGTAGAGCATAGTCTGGAAGAACACATTCGCTACTGATTTTTTTTTTTATACGTGGACGGAGCCCCGGACGAAAGATAGTATATGAATAAAAAATTGCATTATGATGTATATTTAATATATAAGTTACTATATTTGTCAATAAGTGTCAGTTTCCACTGTCAAGTTCGCCTGGTAACATTTCACCAGTAAAGTTGTACGTAAAAGATATATTTACTTTATTTACGTTTTCTGACGTAGTTACGGAGCCGAGCCTTGCCCGAAGCTTATTAAACATTTTTACGAGTCCGCTCAACATCGATTTTCTTTCCCGAGGCGAGGTACACCCGGCGACTAAAGTTGAACTCCGGTACATCTTGTATGACTATCTGTTGCAGTTTCATTTGACTGTATTATTCAACATACACGCGTTGGTACACATTTTGTATTTTTGTCTCGTACAATTTATAGGTGTATTAAATACTGTGCCTTGCGGCTTCCGCGTGGAAATAGAAAATAGAAAACTACTTAGCCTATGTTACTGACAACATAGCTTTTTAATGGTGCAAGAATTTTTGAATTCGGCCCAGTAGTTTCTGAGTTATTTCGATACATACAAAATCCGAAAATACAATTTGCTTTTATAATATTAGTGCAGAAAATGTAATAAAAAAGAAAGTACAGTTTCAAGTGGATGAAATATTTACAAATAAGAGATCTTTCCAATACCAATTGTATTCATAATTGTCTCTTCCCCATTAGTTTATATACCACGACATATAACGTAACGAAAAATATTAATTTCATCGTCAGTTGTACTTATTATGGAAATTTACTTCAGAAGTTACAGAGAATATTAATTCTGTATACCCTGATTTAGATGAGTCGTGAAAGCTAATTAAAAATCAAATAGCATGCGGATGACGTCACGGTACATGTCGGTTATCCAGTCGTAGACGATGAAAGCCGACAGGAGTTGGCTGCACTGCCACTTGACCCACCGCAGTTCAATGAACCAGTACCGTAAACAGTGTACTCGTAGCATCCACAGATTATAAAGTCAACATTTTGACATCCCTGTTGATTTACATTTTCACGGTTTACGTTTCTTTTTACAAAAGTCTGTCTTCCTCTTATCCTGTATTTCTTGCTGGAAAGACTGTAATGATTGTTTTTTTTTTACAAATTATACAAAAAGAGTATTTATAGTTAGCTTTTCACAATTTCGTATTCATACGCAAATTATGGACTCTCTGATAATTAACATCGAAGGTCGTTATTAGTCATATTGTGTGACTAACTAGAGATTTTATCTATAATAATGATTATGACATAATAATGATAGGTACAATATATTTTACTTGTTGACGAAATATATATCATAGACTAGTTTTCGCACGCGACTAAGTCTGCATAGAAACAAAAGTAAGTAGCCTATTTGTTCTTCCAGACTATGCTCTATACCTATGCCAAATTTTATCCAGATCCGTTCTGCCGTTTAGGCTACAAACTGTAAAAAACATCCATCCATCCATTCATCGAAACTTTCGCATTTATAATATTAGAAAAAAGTAAGATGTCGTCAAAAAATACAAATGTTAGCCCACACAAAAAATGTGGGAATCTTGGAATGAATTAAGCAACGCTAAAAACTCCGTATATTCACATTATTGCCACTTCGGTGTTGATTAAAGGTGAGTCTGACTCAACGTGGCTCGAAATATATCTAATAATTAACCTTTATTAATATGGCAAAGTCATGTTTCTATCAAATATCACAGTTGATAAAGTGTTTGATATAAAAATAATAGATGGACTCAAAAGTAACTTTGTATAGATAACACTCAGTACATTCGGAAGCATTGTAGTGATACATCCAAATCGCGGACTCCCTTTTTAATATTATGGCAGGCGAATGCATCGTATCCGTTTTGTAATTCATTCATGAATTCATAGACATATTCAGAACTGAATCATGTCGAGTGTATTATAGACTAGCTGTTGCTCGTGACTTCGTCCGCGTAAAATTAAAAGATAATTAAAAATATAGCCTAAGTTACTCACTGATTAATATTAGTATAGAAAACTGTATTTAGAAACTTGGTAGATTTTCTAGATTTGTGTTGCTTCAGATAGTCCATTTCTCTGTTAAATGACAATTTACAGTTTAAATATATTACTTAAAATGACTTTATCAAGGAAATAAAACATTACGAGGTACTATGTAACTCGTTCCGTAAAAACTGTTACTTTTATTGCAATGTTACGCGCTTTGAATTTTCGACGGGCCATATTACGTCAGCGCTTAAAATTCACTCTCAACTCATTTACATTATTATATTGAATGTTTTGTACGCTCTATAAAAATTTATATGACTAGAAATGGTATGGAAAATGGTGGAGTACGTCAAATGGAAGTCTGTGGTCACTGCCTACCCCTTTGGATTACAATGTAAGTTGTTTTATTGCAGACATGAAAATAGTACTACGTTTCCTACATTATGATACATTGGAATTGAATGTTTTAATTGCCAGAGATATTTGGCTGTTATTTTGGCGTTTCGAACAAAATATGCGCATAACAGCGCAATAGTTTAAGGTTATTGCAAGATGTGAAATTTTGCTAAAGTAGTATCTAATATAGTTAGCTTAGTCGTAATATTGCATGTTTACTGTCGATTTAATCAAACAAAGAGTGAGTCTGAGGTGAAAACATGCTTACTTTGTGTATTTTATCTTCAAATAGGTCTTGTATAAAATTACGTCATCATGTTCACTATTTTACCCTACTCTCGGTCGGCACACCGGGTTTTCGTCCTCCAAATAACTGTATCATCCGTCATCTCAGTCATCACTCCCTTGATCATTTCACCTTTCACGCAATCCATCCATCTCTATCTAGGGCTACCTCTACCCGTGTACAAGATGACGTCACGAATGATAAAAAATACCATATTTTAAATATAGGAAAATCCATATGTAGCTGTGTTTCAGGAGTATTTTAACGATCGATTATGTGTAACCTTCTACTTCTAGTATTCCGGCGTCGTGTGCGGTGCGAGGTCGCCGGCACACTTTCAGCGTTACAGGCTGCAATCGAATCTTTTCACACCACCTATTGTTGCAGTCGAGACTTGCACGTTGCAATCTTTTATACCCCCGCACAATAAATCGGTTTCTTTACTTTTTACTGAGTCGTTACGTAAGTCACAGTCTCGCTGGAAAACTTCTAGATTTAGATAAATATTATTTTGTATATTAATTTTGTTAGTTAAGAATTTCTATAAAATTCTAAAATCTCTGAAGTAAAATAACATGCAAATGCAAAAGCTTGTAACTCTTGAAACAGTTTTCAAATACAATTTTTTAGTTGTAATATAAAATACTTGCACAACTTAAATGATAATGTCAAAAGTTTTTTAGGAGAACAGAATGCTACTTTATAACTAATATTTTAAATGCATGTTTAGATGGATGGCCATCCAACATCCATATGTTTGTTAGAGTTTGTATTCTAAACGGCTGAACGGATCTGGATGAAATTTAGCCCATATGTAGAACATAGTCTGGAAGAACACATAGGCTACTTATTTTTGTTTTCACGCAGACGGAGGTGCGAGCGAAAGCTAGTATGTTATTATTGTCAAAAAATAGCCATGACCAACATATCGGGGTCAACGAACTGATGTGACTTGAATTTTTTAATGATGTAACATTAGCGAGTGTCTGGCAAGAAAGCGAGTTAATTTATTTTATAGTTGATGCCTTGTCGCGGAAGCTTAATGCATGCTTAAGTATTCTAAGAAGAGTACAGGAAAGCACTTTGAAAGGAAGTTTCCTTTTTAAATCACGCTAAATTTTATAAAGGGTGACGATGTTAAAGTACAATTCAGGATTTGTCCTGTAGGTCTAAAATGACAATAGATGTACTAATCTGGATAGATTGTAAGATTATTAAGTTGGTTATCTAGCTCCGTCATAGATATGTTTTATTTATTACAGTAACAAACATTTCTAAATTCTTAAGAACATACGTAAAATAGTTTTATACACGTTTTCAGTAGGCATACAATGTAGATGACACATTTTTAACTCAAGTATTTAATACTGGCAATGGCAACATCCGATGGCTTCGTAAGATGAACTGTTCAAATTTAAAAAAAAAGTATGTGCGTATAGCAGTCCATTGAGACACGCCACAAAAAGACAAGTGCGTCGTTAATGGAAAGTTGTGGGATGGGAACACAAACGTCGACTCTACCTTACCGTGAGATTGCAATTTACGTAAAAACGTGTACTGGTGGCAGTGAGCGAGAGAGGCAGATAACATGTTTGTATGTTGGCAGTGGGAGTAAGGCAGTCGCGTAAAACTTGCGATATATCGTGCGACACATCCCACGGGTACACCGGGCCAAATAATTTTTGCACTTCAATTATTTTCGTTTATAAATTTTTAATGTAAACGTGTGACAAAAATATTACTCATTGCTTTAATTGAATAAAACATCGCTAGATTTATGAGTTTAAGGTAACCTTGACTTTTTAAATTTCTGTTGAACTGCTCTTGTGTAGGATATAAAGTGGGAGGAGGCCCCTAGAAAGAGGTCTGTGATTTATTTCGCTTTACCATTTTTACACATCAAAGTATAATTTTGTGACGCAACATCAAAACCTTATTCGGGTACTCTATCTTACATACTATAGTTAATACGTCTGAATATAATATTTAAAAATATCAACACAAGAATGCATTGAAATGCATAAATACGAAATAAACTCTGCTACGTCCTCATTATGTATTCCCTCTTGTTCTAATAACTATGCACAGCAGTGTGTTTAAATGTGTTTTTATTTAATTAATAAAATAAACTGAAAGACACATAGAATAGTTGTATAAATAAATAATGTTTTTATGTGGCTATTAATGTCAATAGATGTCTAGACAGAGCCTAAGTTTCATCCAGTGTATTACAGCCGGCCAAGTTTAATAGTCTACATACGGCATTGCGACAAAAATTGATGTGGTGGAAGTTTTTTTAATGAAATTATAATTTAAAACAGAGTCATAGCGTTTATAGGAAAATGTACATGACTTGTTTTGTCCGCGATTTCCGCGTCTATTCAAATTAGTAAGCAGAAATCCCAGACTAAGTTCTACAATTGTGCTAAATTTCGTCGAGATCGTTTGGTCTTTTAGGTTACAAGCTCCAACAAACCTCCATCTATTTAAACTTTCGCATTTATAATGTTTGTAAGATTTTGCTTGAATTCAGTTGGAATGGTTACTAGTTTGTATAATCGAAACAACGTCTAAAACATCGCATTTAAATGAGATATTGCTGTTTATAATTAGTGTAGCAACTGTTAAAAACTAGGTTAGATAAAACGTGTCCTACATTAAAAATAACCGCTCCACAGCTTCTGTTTGCATTATCTAAGTACTCTTTTATGAAATTTTAAATTTATTTTAATTAATAAAGTATTTTACGCAGGAAGTTAAAATAAAATGTACGGAACGCATTTGGTTTCAAACATGCAATACTTATTTTAAAAACAATTGATTGCGAAATCCTGCTGTGGCACGATATAAACTTATTATTGCTACCACCCTAGGGCGAGATTTATACGCCCATTTATATCTTTCGCCCTGGGCGATTCCCCATCCTCGCATGCCATATCGACTACTGGCTCCAAGGAATTATATGGCATTCTTCAAAAGTCAAATCCAGTAGACATATAATCTAAGTTACCGTACTTAAAGAACTTAAATACCTGCGGTTTAATTAAGAATGATTACTAAATTAACCTGTGTAATTAGAGTTGATTAAATGCCTTTCGCGTCTGTGATTTGTTGGAAAGTGTTTGACAAACTTGGTTTAGTTGTACGACCTGACATTGACGTTGGGCAAATATTTACTAAATGGGCCGTTCGCGAAACCTTTTTGCTTTATTGGAAAAGCCAGCGTGAAACTGGTATACTTTTATTAAAATAAAAAAAACTTTATGAAAAGTTTCGATGGTCCAATACGAACGGAATGAAAATGTTTTTCAACGATATATGAATTTTGAAGTAATAAAATCAATCTGGTTAGATTGTATTTTCTATTAGTTTTATGTCTATACATTCTAGTGTAGATTAGATAGTTTTCTACAGATTCTATAGAAACGAACTAAAATTGCGGTGTTTTCTAACGCTTTCATAAAAGACATTAAGCCTATCATATATTTAGTATCATATACTTTGTCAGAAGCTCTATACACGGTATTGTTTCCGCCTCACATATAATCCTTAGTGTTCATTACATTCGTACAATAGTATTACGCGGGTGGATTTCATTGCAAGCCTCTGAGCCGTAAATATACAGCATTGTAATGTTATAAACATTATCTCTAAATAATCAAACATTTATATGTTATGCAAATGATTGAATTAATTTATACAAATGTCCGTGAACCTGAAATGAAGATGAGGTCATTTCACGTTTTAATGTCGGCTAATAAAAGATAAATTGCTTCATCACAAAACTAACGTAGATTTAAAAACGCTGTTAATATAAAGCCCTTTATCTCAGGTTTGACTCAATCAATGTCTTTGTATGTTTTGTAACATCATTAATTGTTTTACGATCTGTTTGAGCAACTGTAAAACAAGCATGTTTTACGATTGCTGTTCGTCTGTAGGCCGCCTATAAAGGCGATAAAGCGACGCTAATTGCTCGTAAAGCTGTCCGTCAGAGCTAGCCTGGTGCGTCACGACAACGCCCTAACTCTAGACGCTGAATATTAATGCGCTAAGATCGATATTTTTGAAAAAGTTAGACCTCAAACTATGGTTTACTTAGACTTATGACGTCACATAATGTTTTTGTTATGTTTTAATAACGATTTGCTTTATGTATTCTTTCAGAGTCAATAACTAATGATTGTTTCCATGTTCTTTGCAGATGCAAACTCATTCCACCAGACGTCGAAGTGGATCGATGATGTCCGCACGGAGCGTGGTTCCGACGTGATCATAATGCTGGTCGGTAATAAGACTGATCTGTCGGATAAGCGGCAGGTGTCCACTGAGGATGGAGACCGCAAGGCGCGCGAACTCAACGTCATGTTTATTGAGACTAGTGCCAAAGCTGGATACAATGTGAAACAGGTAATCATTAGTTATTGATTGTTTTGATTTTGCTTGTCTGTCTATATAGGGTGGATACACACAGCCTTCCCTTAGAGTCCTTTAGAGTACTTTTCACTAATTAAATCTTACTTAATATAATGCATGTTCGTTTGTAGCCTTAACTACTGAGTGAGGATAGTCGGGAAGAACACATAAGCTACATACATTTGTTTTTTAATATCTACGCGTTAGTCGCGGACGAAAGTTAGCGTATCATTGTGTCAGTTAGATATCCATGTATTTCTAAAGGCAGGTTAACACTAACGTTACAGTCCACATATTTACCCTTAAAAATGTATTTTCCAGCTGTTCCGGCGAGTAGCCGCCGCCCTCCCCGGGATGGACTCCGCGGAGAACAAGCCTCCAGAAGACAGTATCCTTTTTTACATACCACTTGTTAACACACAGCGTCATACACGAGCCATACAAACTCCTCCCATACATCACCCGCGCCATACACGCACTTGAACACTTATATACGTAACTGTTTATGTATTGGACTTGTAACCGCTATATTGTATACGAAATAACGGCTAATGGACGTTCGCGGAGTGTTTTTGAACGGACGTGTTTAATAGATTTTTCCAGTGTAAGATTAGTAATGAGAAACTAGATAAAGAAGACTACATACAAACTGACAAAATAACATCGTTTGTTAAACACCTAATTATTTATACTTAATAATCGAAGTTTTAAAATTTCCTTTTGTATAATATTGTATTAAAAAATTAGCAAATTTTTTTCCAGTCTTAATAAGAAAGATGATAAAGGAATTAACGTAAAAAGATCTATATCTATTTAATTTTTTATATGAGTTTTTTATAAATTTTTAATTAAAAAAAATATGATTTTCTCTTTGCTAATCTTACACTCGTTGTGTTTGTATCGCGCTGCGCCAGTGGCGCCCCCGCGGCGTGTGTCGGTGGTGGTAAACCGTGTTAACATCTATGTTGTAAGTAAAACTTAACATTACTAATATCTTCCCGTACTTGTAAACATTGCCTTTATTTCAGTACCTTCATTTGCTTATTTATTTTATATATTGCTGGGTAGAATTATTGTATTATTTGTGTTTTCCATGGACAAAATACATGTACAATTATGATCATTCTCACCAACTAGTCCTTGAGCAGTATTTAAAGGGGCTCTAGAAACAATTATCTAACCAATCCAGTAATTATAACGAAGTAACGGCTCATGCCGAGGCTCCTGAGGGAACCCTCGAGCTAAGTTACTCATGAACGAGGTTTTTTAGCGCCATGCGCTCGGCCACCTCAAGCCCGGTGAATCTGTAAATGTCTCAAGGCAAACAATGGCCAATACCAAAAAAAAACAATTTCCTACCTCCTAAATTCATAATTTAGTTTAGGTCTTTAACCAACTAGACTTTTCTATGAACACTTTAAGGACTGGTTAGTGAAAATGACCTTTAACATTTTGTTGTCATGTGTATTGCAAGTGGAAAATTCATTTATATTGTTTAGTTAACACAAAGTTATACTTCTTAGTTGGACATAGAATAAGTTTTTCAATGAAGTTTCTAAGAAGTGTAATTTTCTAGTAACATTTTTAAGAGCTTTATGACTGTCTTCCTTTAGCTTAGTATAAATAAACTGTCATTTTAACATAACTTTAGTATCTTTTGCATGGCACAATGTTAATTACATACACATCATCGAAACATAAGTAAAAAGGCTTAAAAGCCTGTATTTCATTTTTGTATACACTGTCCAAGATGCGGCATATTAAGGATTTTATTGACTATGTGAACTGAATGAAAAATCTAACTAAAGTTCCATTTTGCTAAATTATAATTTAGATATAACTTGAATATTAATACGCCTTGTGTGCAATGACCTTTAAATCATATTTGATGACAGACTTTCTTTTTAGTTTAATGTAAACTATCTATAGATGTACTTCAAACAAAAATATGCTAAGGACCTGTCCCACCATATTGTAAATCTATACTTCTATACTATTATAATAAAGCGTAAACACATACTTCTTTGTTGCCTAAGATGTCAGCAATTACAGCATATTTTTGAATAATTCTTTTTTTAATAAAAAGATTTACACTTACGTCACGCTTTAGGCTATATATTACACGTCATTAAACTTATGGGGTAAATATTTTTGATAAAAACCCTAATGTGGGAAAGAGACCATAAGTTGCTGTCAACATCAAGGAAGCAAGGTTGTCAAGGTTTGTCATAATGTCATGTCATTTTGACATTTGCAATTGATAATTTGACACATGTAAACAACAATATATGATTTTCATAATTTAATGCAGTTGAAGTCGCACGGGAACAGCTAGTTGTCTGATAACAGTCGAACATGTAAAATTTGCGATCGAAATATCGGATTTTCTTCCCTTATCTGGCAGTGACGCCATTTTTAAGCTACCTGAGATTCTATCAGCTAGTGCTGGGACAGGCCCTTAATATTAAAAAGAGAGAAGATTTGTACGTTTGTATGTATTTGGTTCACGTGATTACTGAGCCGATTTTAAAAAATTCTTTCACCACGAAAAAGGTAATTTATCTATGAGTAACATAGACAATTTTTAAATTTGTTTTAATCTCACGCGGACGAAATCGCGAGCAAGCTCTAACATTTAGTTTCCCATCTTGGACAGTGTGAATAATTAATTTTTCGCCCATATTTTATTAGAAGTATATTCCTTAATGCTGCGTAGTGCACGAGGTGATCCTGCGCCAGGCGCCCGGCGACAGCAAGGAGCCCGACAGCGGCTGCGCCTGCTAGCTCCCGGGACTCCGCCCTCGCCCTCCGCCCTCCGCACTCCGCCCTACTGTTGCTCAGTGCTCCCTAGCCACCACAGGAACACCGAAATATCAATAAGCAATATTAAATCCGACGTAAATTGTTATATCTCGTGTAAGATCAGATATAATTTTATTGGTAAAATTTTACAGGTCATAAACAGTTGATGTTTTGAAAAGATTATCTATAAACAACCAATTGTATACAATAGTACATTATAGTATAGTACAGTTCCCTTTAGTACAGTATAGTACGGTACAGTATTAATTAAATAAATATCATAACTTGAAAAAGAATCGAATATTTTTGCCAAAATATTCCTAACAATAAAGATATAATTCTTTACGTCGGAAAACTTGAGATCTCCAGAAATGCTGTATTTGTATTGAAATTGAAAGTTTCAGTCAGGGTTATGGTTTTAGGGGATTTTTAAGTTTCTGAGAATTCTGTTTGTTGCTGAAGATTGGGAACCTCTGAAGGCAACTACATCGTAACAGGGACTAGGTTACCAAGATCTTGGCGTTGTGTGAAAGGAAATTGGAACGTTTTGCGATTGTCTTAAGGTTTAATATCGCTCAACCATCTTGTTAATCAGTAATGTATGAAATGGTGTAATCAATAATGTGTGTTTGTCGCCTTAAATACGAGGAAATATGTTTGTAAACTTTTTTTAAAAGAATATGTATTTTAAATATTTTGGCTGTACGAATGGTTAATATTTTTTTTTAATTTGACACTTTTAAGTTGGTATAACTAAATTTGGCGTGTAATATTGTGTTTTTTATATATTTTGAGGTTATGTTAGCATTGTTTAAGGCGACAAAACGGATCTGATAATACCTAAATGCGCTTCTGTGTGTCAGCCTTAGTGATATTAGTCGATAGTGTACTTTCACTTGACAGCCACATTGTACGTTGGAACAAAACTTTGAAAAAATCAATAAAAAAACGTCTCATTTGAAGCTTACTAATATTATAAATGCGAAAGTTTAGATGGATGGATGGATGTTTGTTAGAGTTTGTAGCCTAAACAGCTAAACGGATCTCGATCAAATTTGGCAGAGACGTGGAGGATAGTCTGGAAGAACATATAGGCTCCTCACTTTTTTTTTTTAATTCCACGCGAACAGTGTCGCGGGCGAAAGCTAATGACTAATAAATTTAAATTGTAAAGAAAATAGTAAAAGTAAAATAAAATCAAAAAGTACATCTTTCAAATAATTTTTCCAACGTACATTGTTCTATAGTTTAAAAATATTTGCTTTCCGTGTGATTGTTATTGTTTTAGGTCTATAAGACTGAGCTTGTAAGCCTTACAATTCAATACATTCTATCTATGGGTGAATGAATAAGGGCTAATACACGGTTTGCAATTAGCAGCGTTCGCCATACACAGACCGGTGATAAATGCCGGTATGACGCTTGAGAAGTACTCGAATAGTCCGCGTATGGTAGCCTTATTGCGTTGTATTATGTCAATTGAATAAAGCAATATGTACACTTAAGACACTACACTTGTAAACAAGGCCGTACGCCTTACTTTATAACCATTTCAATCAACGAGATGCTTTCGATAAAATTAATAAAAGTTAGAGTAAACTTAAATGCTAACACACAGACGTCTTCCGAAATACTTTTTGACGACATACTGTCGACGGACGGACGTCTCGTTGTCTATATAAATATACAGTCGTCGACAAAAAATCGTTCGAAAGACGTCCGTGTGTTAGTACGAAGAGCTGTTTTCGTCAGTGTATTGGGAGATGTGCGCTAAGCGTAGTTAACAGTTAGCATTTTGGAAGTTCTGTGTTGTATATAGCACGCGTCTGTGTGGACCTCTGTGTGGAGTACTGAAAACTACCGAATTCTACAGTTTTTTTGACGATATGATAAAGTCAGTTTTGTAATAATTTACGATAACTTGCAACTGAGGTCCCACAGTAATATGTTAAGTATTATTTATTACTTTAGTGCTTAAGGCAAAAATCTTATGACTAATCTTTTTTCTATTAGTGATATTTCACCGCTAGCCTTTTGACATTTACATATATTATGTAATTTACATATTTGAGATGCGTCATTCCAGCGAGCTTTTATCTATTCGGTAATATTTGGACATGGGCGTTGCAGATTTTGAAGAGATTCTTAATATTATAGATTTATTGTTTATATTGTGATTTAATATATGTTTTGTTTCTTTATAATTGTAGAATTATGATCTTTAGTAATATTTCCGAACGATGAGCAATATTTCGTGAATTCCAAGTTTTTTTTTTGTAATTCTTTAAGCAATATATGAATTTGTCGACCGTATAAGACTTGTTTTGTGTACCGTATTTGACAGATGATTCAGGATTTCACCTTTTTAGTAGATGTTATGTCTGCTCGATTTGATAATCTCCATGTTGACATGTGTAAATAGCAAGTACCTCACGCCGATTATGATTCAAATAAAAACATTAAAACACTAAAGCATAGTTTTTTTTTATTACAGTTTCTTATCTTGTACAAAGAGAACTTTCGTAATAGTTAAAAAGTTTCACTCTATAATAAACTATAAATTGACATTTAAAAGTACACATTATGGTGCGTTTTAACCCTTAATTCAATAGTGTCCAGTGTAAGAACAAATACTTTTGAATATCTACTGAACTAGTTTATAGAAAATTACGTTTTTTGATTTAAGTGTGTTGGTAACATTTAAAATTCTTTTGCACACAATCAAACTCCATCGAATATAACAAAAGTGAATAGTCGGATATGGTATTGAATTATTATATAATATAAATTTAAATTTGTAATAACATCCTTAACCCAGCGTGTGTAGCCGTGGATCTGCAGACGCAGTCTCCGATGGGCTCCGAGCAGGAAGGCAGCGAGAGTGGCTGCGTGTGCTGAGCGCTCCCCCCGCGCCGCCCGCACCCCGCACTACGCTTCACCCCAACCCCCTGTCGACATACGCACCCCATACGCGATCTCAACACACAGCTAGTGTCAATCTTGTTTGTAGCTGTGTCGAAGTTACTTAAAGCTTTATACACACTGCGTATTAAACACCTATAACTACCATATGATAGCAATTTGGCCTTATGTGTTCTTTTTAGACGGGCAACATAATTATGAAAAACCACATTTATAATGACGGATCTGCCTTTTGCCTACGATGATACCAAGATAGGCGCTCATTCTCGCGAATATTTTACGCGGTGTGTATAGACCCTTATGCGTGTGCGTATATAATTTTATTTCGCGCCAATTTTAGTTTTTCATAACCTCTAAGAGTATGTCGTAGTTGGTGTAGAATAAGGCGCACTTCCGAAAACCCTGTTCGCTGTCTTTGTCTTGTATTAGAGTTATATCTTAGTTGGATAATTGTAGAATAATATTGGATACTCTACATTACACAAATACAGATCGGATTGTTTACACATTTCCATACGGTTAGTCACGGATAGACGGGCTAGAGAGACGTTTTGCATAGTTGTGTATAGCACAAAAATGAAGTTCTTGCTATCTGATCTCGAAAGCATTACAGTATTATGTAGATTACAAGTAGGAAAGTAATTCTAAATCTCTTCTATTTCGATTCTTGTTATATTTAGCACAATTTTTGATAGTATCAGTAGAAATATCGGACTGAATTTACACTTTTAGTTGAAGCTAATGACCCGTGGAATTTATATATAAATCATTATTTACGACTGAATTGTGCCTAATTGGTAATACAATGTTTTATACCCAATTAATAAAAATACAATGGCCGCTACACAATAAATATTGAGGCAAAATGACCGTTAAAATGTATGAATACAGGCTAATCTTAAATTCTTTTAAAGACACAAATCAACGTAGAATGAAAGTGCAGTTCGGTCGCTATAGATATATGTGATGCCGCACGGTTATTTGCCGTCACAACTACGTGTTGAATTTCAAAATACACGAACAAGCATTATAATGGTTCAATTTTAATATTCTCGTTGTTTGGGTCGTTAAGTTGATACCACTTTTGTATATATATGTGATTTTCTCCAATGATTTTGCTTACTAGTATTGTTTTTTTAATTCTTGTGATTGGAGCGGTTCGAGTTCTTAAGGTTCGTGGAATGTCTAGGGAGTGCTAATTGGTGCAGGTGTACTGAATAACGCACCATTTGAAAGCGCATTTACACGATGTTGTACTCTTACAATGTAAACGGCGTTTATTCTAATATTGATGTAGAAGTTTAGGTAATACTTAAGACTGGGTATAATATTATTGACATCACGGGCAAGGAATAGGGGAGCAAGATTGCGCGGCGGTTTTTAGTTTTTATAAACAGAAGGAGATTAAGATAATATACAGCAGGAAAATGTTTTCTTTGGATAAAAATCTTGAGTTTTTTATTAACTTAATGAATACCAAAAAATATGTTTGTTAGTTAACAATTAAATTATTGGTAAGTTACTTTTTGATTTTTATGTTATTGAAAATTCTGTTTTATGAAATTTGCGTTTTAAACATATAATTATTAACATCGGAATAAAAATTATGAATTTCCCTAAGAAGAGTTACACGTATGTAAGGGGAGATTATGTACCCTAAATATATCTTGCAGTATTTAGTGTTTTTTCACTTTGTTATTTTCTATTTGTATTATTTTCATTTAAGTTATAATTATTTTGCACTGAAATAGCTTTGAATCACTGCAGTGTTGATATTCACTATTGCTATCAGCGACTTGATCGAGCCGCTTTGAAATTTGAATAGCATTATACCAAATATATTAAACCAAATCAAAATATCAATTGTGGTTTAATTTTAAGATAAACGTCAATGTGCACAAAAAAATAAATATATTTATTTTTAACGTGAATTATTAATGTGTTGATTTATATTAGGCAAAGCCGGAACGATAGCTTGATGTAATTTGGTGTTTATTTACTTAAATATAAGATAAATATAAAATGTTTAGTACGTCTGATATCCAGTATCACTGCCGCTGTTTACTGAAACGGTCTAAAGATGGTATTTCTTAGTAAATTGACACCATCTGATTTTTTATGCAATGATTGTTTCGATAAGTGTTGGGTTGTATCGCATGTACGCGACCTGCTTTAGCTTCGTTAATATTGTTTATTAATTTAAAATTAGCATAATATTCCAAATATTAAAAGCATTTTAAATATCTGAAATGTTTTATTTTTTACCCTCAGTAATCTATTTGGTTAGTTAATAGAATCAAATTTAAACCTTACAGCCTAGAGCAGTGATTTTCAAACACTGTGCCGCCAAATTTCAAAAGTGTGTCGTCAAATTTTTGTCATAAACTATGCAGTGTGTTGTAGTAAGTAAATAATTTTTATATTTTTCTTTGTGTGCCGCCAAATTTTGAAATCGTTAAATGTGTGCCGCGACAAAAAAAAAGGTTGAGAATCACTGGTCTAGAGAATATCGCCTCTCGGTTGTTAGCTTTTTTTAATAAGGTACATTACGAACGTTTTTTTGGAATCAAGACACTAATAGTTTGTAAAATTTATTCAAAATTATGTACAAATAGTATTTTGAACAGATGGATACGTAATGAAATAACAGTTAGAGGAGTTTAGCTGTGAAAAGGTTGTCAATTATGAATTACATTTGATTCATATTTAATGTATTAACAATAAATTATCTTAATTTTTTTAAAACTGGTTTACAGTTAACAATACATTTTACAGTGGTAGAGCCCGCTTTAACATCTTCGCACGAATGGGCCGGCTCGCCCGGTGCAATACCACGACCACACAGAAAACAGGCGTG